GGAAGTAGGTCTTCCTATTTCATATGCTTATTATAATCTTTTATGTGTTTTCTAATTGTATATCCATCTGTGCCATCAATGGAAGTGCAAAGACTGCGCCTCATAGACCCATGTTCTATGCAAGGAAATACAAATAAAATGAATTACTGGGGCAAATCCAAACATACACATGCGTTTTTAGGCAGTTTCTTTAAACTTTAAAAACATATGTATAAGATTAGGATCAAAACAGGAAAGGGTATATAAATATTATGTATGTAATATATGTATAAAACTGAAAACAGAGATGTGCATATGATGGCAAACAGTCTTTGAGACATCAGAATAAAATACAAGAGACTGAAATTAATATTGCATTATATTCTAATACAGCATTATGTGCCTTTACATTACAAGTTTTTGTTTGTTTGTTTGTTTTTAACCCCTTAAGGACCAAACTTCTGGAATAAAAGGGAATCATGACATGTCACACATGCCATGTGTCCTTAAGGGGTTAAATAGGGCTTCTACCAGGTTTTGGATTATGGCTTTATATGCCCCAGTCTGCCTCGGAATGGTAGGAGTTATACATTAAGGCAGCAGCTGCTCTTTGCTGTGATCCTGATAATGATGTCCTAAGAGCTGAGGCGAGAGAATAGATTTGCTTCAGTCTCATTAACTCTTATCTCACCATATAAATATCAGGAGAGAGCTAAATTAATATTGTGGGAATTATAAATAGTAGATGCTACCCAGAAGTGTATCTCCCAGTAATCACAGGCAGTCCAGGACATCTATGTTGTTGTACAGTTGGCTCTATATAAATGCAAAAATCATAATAATAATGGATAACATCAGCCAGCATGCAGCATGGAATTTGAAAACATAATCTGCTCTTTTAAATTTGATCTGTATATTTAACAAGTAGATAATTGTAATAATGTATTTATTATATGCATAATGTGTCTGCTAGACACTGGAAATTGCAGAAATAAATTAATGCATGACATGTACATCACTAGCACTATACCATGATGTATATATTACAGCTACTTAATGTTGTATGGAAGTCGTGTTCCTATGTAGCATATTTACCATTAACATGATTGGAGTCAACAACTAGCTGCATGTGTGAGAGAAAGAGTGTCCCTATTTAGAAGATACAGTCCCTATTTTGGGCACAAATCCCTCTATTCATCTTTTCTCTTCTAATGTCCCACTTTACTAGGAGCACCATATTGTGGAGTGTTTCCACAGAAATATTAATAACACTAATGCCTTTCAACTAAATTAGTTTAGAAAAAATCAGTCAGTGTAAATACATTGTTCTTGCACTAACTTACATTTCAGTTGCATTAATTATTTTAAATTTTAAATAAGTTAATATTCATTATTTCTCAGAACAGTCCAGTCCCTGGTTAGACCCTTCTGTCAGTCCCTACATTGGCTTCCTATAAAATATAGAGGTCAATTTAAAATTCTGGTTCTTGCTTTCAAATCTCTACATAATGCTGCTCTCACCTATCTATTCTCCCTTATACACAAGTATGTCCCGTCTAGGCCCTTACGATCTGCTGAAGACTTAAGTCTATCTTCTGTCCGTACTCCCACCTCTGATGCTCGCCTTCAAGATTTCTCGAGGGCTGCACCGTTTCTGTGGAACTCGCTTCCCTCCTCCGTTAGATGCTCACCCAGTCTCCACTCCTTCAAAAAATCGTGAAAAACCCACTTCTTCATAAAAGCGTATCAATTAAACTGTTAATAGCTCCTGACTGATTCCTCTTCTGCAACTGTCACTAGTCTAATACTATCCTTACCTTTTTGTGTCATTTTACCCCACTCCCTCTAGCATGTAAGCTCATTGAGCAGGGCCCTCAACCCCTCTGGTCCTGTGTGTCCAACTTGTCTGGTTACAGCTACATGTCTGTTCGTCCACCCATTGTAAAGCGCTGCGGAATTTGACGACGCTCTAGAAATATAATAATAATAATAATATAACTCCTTGATGGCATTCATTGAACAACCACATGTCGTCATTTAAAACATTTTCAAATTTAAAAATTGTGGGTGATATCAAACTATTATTATTATTATTATTGCCTTTTATATAGCGCCAACAGATTCTGTAGCACTTTACAATATTATAAGAGGTGGTTTAAGGACAATTACAAGAAAACTTACAGGAACGATAGGTTGAAGAGGACCTTGCTCAAAAGAGCTTACAGTCTATAGGAGGTGGGGTATAAAACATAATAGGACAGGAAATAGCAATCAAAAAGGTGGGAGTGAAGCAGAACTGAAGGAGGGAATAGAGTGCCCTTTAGGAGAGAGCAAGACATGGGTATGTGAGGTAGTGGTCACTCTGGGAGGTCAAAAGCTTTCCTAAAGAGATGCATTTTAAGGCACTTCTTAAACGATTGAAGACTAGGGGAGAGTTTGAAGGCAGGCTATTCCATAGGAAGGGAGAAGGTCACGGGCAGAGCAGAGAGACAGAGAAGGGGCATATCTATGGATCTGTGAAGAGATATGAGGGGGTAGAATTGGTCAATGCTTTATAGGTATGTGTTAGCACTTTAAATTGACTCCTATATGATAAAGGAAGCCAATGTAAGGACTGACAGAGGGGTGAGGTGTGAGAGGACCGACTAGAGAGGAAAATCAGTCTGGCGACAGCATTTATTACAGACTGTAGCTGGGAAGACCAATTAGGAGAGGGTTACAATAATGCATGTGGGAAATTACTAGAGCATGGACAAGCTTCTTAGTAGCATCTTGCGTAAGAAAGGGGCCGATGCAGGCTATGATTTGAAGATGGAATCTTCAGGACTTGGTAATATGCTGGATATGAGGCTCAAAGGTGAGGCCAGAATCAAGTATGAAACCAAGACAGCGCGCTTGCAAGGATGGACTGATGTGGATACCACTAACTTGAAGGGAGAGCGAAATAGGAGGATCAATATTAGGAGGAGGAAAGACAAGGAGCTCATTTTTAGAGAGATCTAGTTTCAGAAAGCAGGAGGACATCCAGTCAGAGATGGATGTAGAGGTCCGGGGAGGAGAGACATATCTAAGTGTCATCAGTGTATGTCATCAAACTATGTAATAAAAACTGTAACTAATGGTGTGACTTTCATTGAGACATATTTATGGGAACTGCATAACTGCTTTTAGCAGGTGCCACCATCAAGTTTGCTCTTCTACCTTTTGTTGATAAGTATGAAACCTCAGAGCTGAAATTGTAATTATTTTTTTTATTATGGGCAAACTGTACAATCTTGTGCACTAGAGTTAATGAGTGTTCACAGTTGCCTAACTTGTGGGCATGACCTATTAAATTGTATGGAAGAGATAACTTTATTCTTGGAGTGAGAGATGACAGTACAGGAACGACCAAATGACAGGAGAAGGTTGATCACAGAGCAAAAGAAGGAAAAGGGGTGTGTTGAGTAAAGAGGAAATGTAGTGAGGAGTGAGGTTATTGAAGGCTTTGTAGGATAATATTAGCAGTTTGAATTAGATCCTGGAGGGTACAGGAAGCCAATGTAATGACGGCAAAGGGATGAGGTGTGGGTATAGAGGCCATTCAGGAAGATGAGCGTGGAGCATTATTTACAGACTTGAGAAAGGCAATGTATATGGAAGGACGATAAGTAGGGAGTGGCAACAGTCAAGTCAGAAAAAATAATGAGCGCATAAACTAGTACCTTATTTATATATTGAGTTACAAAAGGGCGAATGCGGGAAAAATATTTAAGTTGGAAGGAACAGAATTTGAATATGAAACTAAAACGGCTTCACTCACCTGAACTTGAATATATTATAAGTGCTGTTGGGACCAATTCATACAACATACAAGATCCAGCGCACTCACTATTTCACTAAATAACAACTTCAAAGCTCACACAATTTCATTAAAAAAAAAAACACCATTACTCTCTGTTTTTGCTGTTTCCTTCATTTGTCAGGACCTTTGGACATATTTCGCTATTATTTTCCCTGGTTCTTGTCTCTCTGTGCTCAAATAACTACTCTTGTAGGTCTTCATACACTGGATATCTTGCAAAATTATAAGTATATACATGGTTAAAGGTTTATTCCAACCACCATGACCACTTCTGCTCTGTGCCGGTGAAACGGTCCAATCAAATGCTCTATGAGAACATTTGATTTGAACACACAAGGGAGCTGTGGCATCAGAAGAGGTGTATAAACTAGCATGGAGAACCTTTGCCCAGAACAGAATTCCGGGCTGCCAAAGTCACATGAGCCAAGGGTATAACTAGCACAAAAGGAAAAATATCTCTGGATGTGCAATGTTTTAAGCAGAAACAGTGCACATTCAGACTCCTACCACCATGACTACTTCAAATTACTGAAGTGTTCACATTGGTTGGAATAACCCCTTAAGGCAGAAACTCTAGATGCATAAGGGAAGATTTATAAAAGTGTTATATTCTAAAAAAAAGTGGTGCAAAAATGTAAAAAGGATGAAGTCACCAATGAGATGTGATTGTTGGCTCAAGTAGTTGAAAAACAACCCCAGTGTTGTTCAAAAATTCAGTCCAATAAAGAGGCATTGCAAGTTACATCAATATTTTCCCCCAGACGAAATATTCTTGTATAATAGAACATGAGTCAAAACGTACCTATGCCTCTTAGATCCATGACAATTATCCTGCCTTCATTATAATATAAAAGTTTCCATTCAGACAACAGTTTCTAGATATTTGAAACTCTGGACGGAGAAAAGATCAGAGCTTCTATAAAGTTAACACAGGGTTACTATTACTTTAACACCAGAACTGAACTCAATCATGGACATATAGTTATCACACAGAATTGTAAGCATTTAATAAGTTGTCAAAGAGTCATTGGTTATTTTGCCTTTGGAAACTTTAAAGCACAAAATATGACCTTGTAAACAATTCCATAGGAGGTAGAAAACCAAAACCTGACAATTTGTCAAATATAAAATAAGTACTTTAAGGACATAATAAATAATAATTATTTATAATACAGCTGTCTAAATAAACATATTTTGTAGACAAACATTTAAGAAAGGATACTGAAAATACATGAACTGGAATTCAATTTCATAAATCCAATTAACTCATACAATTTATAAAACCACTTCTCTCAACTATTAGAGAAACATAGAGGCAGATCACATAGAAAAAAAATGGACTAAAAATGCAAACTAAAGACAGACAAGGCAATAAAGTGAAAAAGTGCCCTTAAATGAACACTATAGTCACCTAAATTACTTTAGCTAAATAAAGCAGTTTTAGTGTCTAGATCATTCCCCTGCAATTTCACTGCTCAATTCACTGCCATTTAGGAGTTAAATCACTTTGTTTCTGTTTATGCAGCCCTAGCCACACCTCCCCTGGCTATGATTGACAGAGCCTGCATGAAAAAAAAACAAAAAACTGGTTTCACTTTCTAACAGATGTAATTTACCTTAAATAATTGTATCTCAATCTCTAAATTGAACTTTAATCACATACAGGAGGCTCTTGCAGGGTCTAGCAAGCTATTAACATAGCAGGGGATAAGAAAATCTTAATTAAACAGAACTTGCAATAAAGAAAGCCTAAATAGGGCTCTCTTTAAAGGAAGTGTTTATGGAAGGCTGTGCAAGTCACATGCAGGGAGGTGTGACTAGGGTTCACAAACAAAGGGATTTAACTCCTAAATGGCAGAGGATTGAGCAGTGAGGCTGCAGGGGCATATTCTATACACCAAAACTGCTTCATTAAGCTAAAGTTATTCAGGTGACTATAGAGTCCCTTTAAATACAGCCCACATGTACTTGTTGCAGTGATGCACAAAATATACACTCAGTCACACTACTAGAAAATTCTATATTATACTCAGTGAAAGTTTCTATTAATTTAGACTATAAAAATCTTGTAGCAGTTTTTTTTTTTTTTTTTTTAAAGAAGAGCTGCAAAAATATATAGGGAGGGTTGTATTAGATGTTGATTTCATTCTTGCCATATGTCCTATGTCCACAGAAAGGCTTTCGGTTTATAGATAAACAAAGAAGATATTAACCTCCTGATTTTCTTGAGAATGTTTCCTTCCCATCACTTTACATGTATATGGATAAACATTGGGATGTATGCAAACTTTTCTTGCAGTATAATTTAACATTCAGAATTAATTACGGTTAAAATATGTATAGTAAAAACTGCCAAAATCCCAGTCCATGGTGAATCATAACGATTCAATGTTTATTCTGATTCAGAAAAAAAGTATAATCTTTTTATAATTAGATGTTGAAAATATCAGCATGACCACCAGTTCAGCTGCTCGATGAAGTGGCTCCCAAAAAGACTGTGTTAATAGGAGGTAAAGAAGATTCCATTTCTCTAACATCATCAGTGTGCCCATGAGAATCCATTGTTTCTTGAGAAGTGTAGTGGTCAGTCGAACCATACATGCATTGAGATGAAGATGGAGATATAACATTTTCCATGTTTGAAGCTGCACAAACAAAAGGAAATACATTTAACTTTTATAGATTTATGTAAAACAACTACAACATTTCACACTGACTTTTTTGACCAATCAACATTTTATTAAAAGAGTGCTCCAAACACCTAAAGCACTTGCTGGAGTTGTTTATGTGTGAAGAGTGTTTCCTATTTTTTTTAATTGTGCAAAATGTGCAGATTTCATTGGAAACTGTCACTTTCATGAATAAACCTTGTTACTCCCTCCCCCCGACTATCTAGCAGACAACCAGTCCTATTACTTTATGTTTGTTTAGCTAAGAGGAGCTAAACTCAAGAGGCAGCAAATGCTCAGAACACCTGCCACGCAAAGATTTCTTATTGAGCTGCATTGGGAAGTCTGTGATTGGACAGCCACAGAAAGTCTGGGGATGAAGGTGGGACTTCCAAAAGCTGCAGACAAGATATCTGCAGCTTTTGCAAGGTCTATTTAACTATACTGCAAAGAAAACAATGCATAATTAAGAGGACACTATAGTCACTAGAACTACTACTACTTAATGTAGTGGTTCTGGCAGTGGCAGATCCAGAGCCTGACCTCGGGAGGGGCACTTGCAGATTATTTAGAGAAATAATCCAGACACAATACCCACTACAGCTCAGTGTAGTAGCTATGGTGCCAGTAGTGCCGGGACCCCCTTCCAGAGTAAGTAGTCAAACCGTTTGAGAACAGTTTGACAACTTACCTGAGGTCTGCTTGGAAATTGGGCTGTAGTAGGGCATAGGAGCAGGGGTGCAGTGTGTGTGTCTTTGTGTAAGAAGGACTGTGTGAGCAGTGTGTGTGTATGTGTGCATTGCAGTGTGTACGTGAGGATGGCAGTGTGTGTTAGGGGGGCAGAGTGTGTGTGTGCGTTGCTGTGTGAGTGGGGGGCAATGTGTGTATGGGGGGAAGTTTGTGTGTGGGGGGGCAATGTGTCTGTAGGGTGTGTGTGTGTATTGGGGCAGTGTATGTGGGCAATGTGTGTGTATGGGGGAAGTGTATGTGTGTGTATGGGGGCAGTGTATGTGTGTGGGAGCAGTAGTGTATGTGTATGGTGGGCAATGTGTATGGGGGCAGTGTATGTATGTGGGGCAATGTGTGTGTATGGGGGCAGTGTATGTGTATGGGGCAGTGTATGTGTGTGGGGGCAGTGTATGTGTATGGGGGCAGTGTATGTGTGTGGGGCAATGTGTGTGTATGGGGCAGTGTATGTATGTGGGGCAGTGTATGCATGTATGTATGTGTATGGGCAGTGTGTGTGTGTATGGGGGCAGTGTATGTGTGTATGGGGGCAGTGTATATGTGGGGGCAATGTGTGTGTATGGGGCAATGTGTGTGTATGGGGCAGTGCATGTATGTGGGGGCAGTGTGTGTGTATGGGGGCAGTCTATGTATGTGGGGGCAATGTGTGGGGGCAGTGTATGTGTGTGTGTGTACTTCAAGAAAATGTTTAATATGTACTGTACATAAATAATCACAATTCTTAATCTACTTTAGATATGGCTATGCTGATTAAAGAGGGTAATAACATAACTTAGCTTGACAGATAGAAGAAGCAGATATTATTAGTAATACAAAAACATTTTCAACAACATATCCATAAAAAAAGGTTTATAATATTTTTTTCAACACTGCAAAGTGAATTTTTTTTTACTGTACTGAAAAATGTACAAAGAATATTTCAAATAGTATTAGCATCTGCACTTTATTCACATACCAATTCTATTGTAAACAAATATGGGTAGTGCTGGAACTCAGTCACGTAATGACTATTATAAGCCATTTGTAATTATAAATGATTAATTCTATTATAAAACATTTTCTGGCATACAATAAGAACACCTACACATTGAATTACGACAAATCATTGGTGGTGAAGAGTCTGTATAATATGAGTCAAGCTTTCTCCCACTATCATCTAATATATTGAGAGGATCATGAATGTCATTAAACGAATGTAGAGGGCGAATGCTGCTAACGCTGCTAATGACAGATACGTGTTGATCAACCATTGATCCAATCCTGTGGGAATCTTGGTAACATAAATTATTCCCATAATATCCTGCAAAAAAAGTAAACATAGATGAGTACTGGAACGGCTATATTTTAAACATTTATAAGCATAATATTTAAAAGGAAACTATAGTCATCAAAACATATTTAGCTTAATGAAGCCATTTTGGTGTATAGATTGTGCCCCTGCAATATCACTGCTCAATTCTCTGCCGTTTACAAGTTAAATCACTTTGTTTAAAGGGACACTCCAGTGCCAGGAAAACAAAACATTTTTGTTGCACTGCAGGTTCCCTCTCCCTCCCACCCCCCATCCCATGTTGCTTAAGAGGTGAAAACCCCTTCAGTGACTTACCTGACACCCCCGCAGATGTCCCTCGGCGGTGGTTTTGGGTTCGCCCTAGCTCCTCCCCGCGCCCGCGCATTAGACCTCTCCATAGGAAAGCATTGAAAATGCTTTCAATGCTTTCCTAAGGGGAATTGAGCGACGCTGGAGGTCCTCCCATGGCGTGAGGACGTCCAGCGACACTCTGTGCTAGAAACCAGGAAGTGCCCTCTAGTGGCTATCTAGTAAACCTGTACATGAGGGGTACTGTTGTACTCGGGAGACTTCGCTGAACACAGATATTTGTGTTTCAAAACAGTAAAATGTATTACAACGATGATATCGCCAGTAAAAGTGAAAACTGCATTTATTACAGCTGCAGGGTTAAGGGTAGTGGGAGTTGGCATCCAGACCACTCCAATGGGCAGAAGTGGTCTGGGTGCCTGGAGTGTCCCTTTAAGCAGCCCTATTCATGCCTACCTGTACACAGCCTTCCTAAACACTTTGTGTAATTGAGATTTAATGTTTACACTTCATTTATTGCAAATTCTGTTTAATTTAGAATTTCAAAAAAACTTCAAAAGAAAGTTAACTTCTGATTGAAAATGAAGTCATTCATTTTTTCACGTAGCTGAGTGAGTCACAGCCAAGGGAGGTGTGCCTTGGACTGCATAAACAGAAACAAAAGAGATTTAACTCCTAATTCTCTTGTCTATCTTGTCCAAAGCCTTTTCAAGCCCCCTACTACCCTGCCCAAACTTTCTGTGGCTTTTCAAACACAGACATACCAATGCAGCTCCATGAGAAGTCATTGCAAGGCAGGTTCTCTGGGCAATTGCTGCCTCTTGTGTTTAGCTCCACAGAGCAAACCAAACCAGGCAGTAACTGGACCGGTTTTCTGCTTGAAAGCCAGGGGATGTAACCAGGTGAATTTATACGAGTGTATTTAAAAAAAAAAAGAGGACACGCTTTGCACACACAAAGCTTTTTAGCAAGCTAAAGTGCTTTAGGGGTCTAGAGTGCCTAGTAAAGATAAAGTTGTTTTGGTGACTATATTGTCTTTTTAAAACATATATGGGTACTCCCTTGTAAAAGACTAAGGAATCTATTCACTACCAAGTAACCTATACTAATACAAGGGCAGAAATGGCAGACATTTTAAAAATCACCAGAATTAACGTTTTTGTGGAAAAGGTAAGAACAGCTGGTTGTCAAATCAGCACACTTTACTATTTAATGAACATACCTTTAAATATCCTGTGTCAAAATATATACTCAAAACAAATGGCTTATTAAAACACTCCAGGCAACAAAACACAATTGGTGCGTTTGATAGGCACTGAAGACAACCATGCAGACAAATAAATATCACTACCTGTCTGTTTTATCCATGACTGTCTGGTAGCACAGCAAAGCAGCCAAATATTATACTCCAAAAAATTGGAAATTTTGAGGATTTTTTGTTGCTGCTTTTTGTCCTCTGAGAGTGGTCTGAGCACAGGTTAAAGTTAATAAAAAAAAAAAAAAAAATGAAAGTAATAAATGAAGAAAAAAAAAATCTCACAAAAACTCACCTTTAAATGATAGACTCCATCCTAACTAATCCACTAATCAGGAGACTCCCATTCTGGTCTATTATATTTTGTTTATCCCTTATACTTCTCTCCAGTATAGGTTTATTGGCTGTGTAGTTCAGAAATCCACTTATGTGACCTATAGCCCTGCCTCCGTCACACTTTCTAAAATGTAAATGCCCCTCATAGCCCATTTAAAATTACCCCATCCAAAATGAGCATGCAAATTTAGACAACTTAGGCGATCTCCCGCAGAGTGGAGGGATGCCATTCTAGTTCTGTGTGTCCCATGTAGCCATTGTTTTGTCTTTCTGTTTAAAGTAACACTCGTGGATAACATCAGATTAGACACTTGGATGTTTATCGGTGCTGGAATCACTGAGCTCCACCTTAGCTGAACTTACAATTTTATCATGATCTTCCAGTCAGAATTGCCTTGAACTGCCTTGAACAGCATTGATCAGGTGGCCAATAATAGGCTGAGTGCTACAGCTGGTGCTTTCAGCCCTTCACCGGTGCCCAAGACACAGGGGACACAAATAAGTTGTCAAACCATATAAAAATGCTTAAACCACATAAGGTAAGACAGTATTCCCTTAATAAAATTGAGTTCCATCTTACATGTGCATCTGTGACTATGACTTGTGTATTAACTATTTATTCAATGCATATCTTCTGCAGTATATAGCAAGGCAGACCTGTTGTGATAATAATCTTTACAACTTGAAATCAACCAATACTTTTAAACACTTTTAAAAATACCATTGGCTGTATTTGATGAATATGTTCCTCCTTGACAACTTCCAGGAACAGAACCATTTATAAAATTGAATCCTCCATTAAGGAATTGCATGCTTTGTGTTTCCTGTGCATTGGATGCTGAGCCATAGTTTGAAGAAGGATGAACGCTGTATGGAGACATTGTACAACTACTTGGATAGTAGTCTCTTTGAATTTGTTGGTCATTCAGTTGAGTGTATCTATTCTGATCTACTCTGTGATGGAAAGTTCCAGATGGAGGTTGAACATGAGCACGGAACATGGCCTGGTAGTTTGAACTGGTGCCAAAATAATTTTGATTTGGTGGAGGAAGATTCTGGAATAAAGGTTCTGAGAAAGAGGAAACCTGTGGATGGGTGGGTAAAACTGATGCTACACTGGAAGGTCTTATAGCCATTGGTCCTTGGTTTATGACACTTCCTCTGTTTAAAATTGCTGGTGACATAGGTGGCGTCATCAGATGACCTGTGCTTTGAGCAACCTCCAGCTGATCTGAAAAATATAAACGTGAAATCATCAACTTAACTACTTAACCTTCTGCAACGGCATGTGTTTTTTAAATTTGTCGTTTGCTATATCTCAGAGAAGGACCAATACAGCTTATTCTACTGAATATTGTCCAACGTCAGCTTAAGAAATCCTATTAACAAAGTTTTTCCTATAACATTTATAGTAAGCAATATATCTGTGCATTCAGTTTCAAATGAATCGTGGTTACAATTTTAGATGATCAGCAAGAATTTTGTAAATATGAATTGCCATATGATCGAATCACTGAACAAATAAAACAAGAAATGAACAAGCCTATTCATTTGTATTGTGATTTGGAATTCTGTATGTGACACCAAAAAAAAAAAAAAGAAGATGGAAAATAAGATGATTAATGAATGTGCATTTCAAAATGCTACTGCCTTCAGATATATTGGAAGGCAGGGCCTGAAGTTGTGGGAGGGGCTATATCCTTTTAAAAGGGACTCCCCCTCCTACCTAACTTACCTACTGGTCCAGACGTACTTCTGGCCCACCCTCCTCTCCCTCTATTCAATACTCTATTCAATACTATTTAAGGTAGGCCTACTTATTTACAGTCCTACCACACACGTCGGTTTCGGCACACCTCTACCGACTTTTTCATTATTGTGATAAGTATACTCACTAGCTATTTCATACTATATTGAAATGGCCCCGAACACAAACAGAGGTTATGCCTAAGAAAGCAGATGTGTGTCAGTTGAAAAAAAAACTGTTTCATACAGTGTGCCAGCATTTTTCTTCTTCAAATTTAAAAAAATCAAAGATACCATCCATCTGTCAACAGGTTTTGTAAAGATAAACTAGGCTTTTAGTCTAAATAAACTGCAGTAAATCATTACTAATTATTTATGAAGTTATTTTATTTAAGCAATTTAACAAATGTATTATTGTTTTTTTAAATTTTATATATATATTTAATGTTTCCATGTCCATTAGGATTATTGTGTACACACCATAGATTGTAAACTTTAGCAAGAAGGGGCATGTAAACCATCTGCTTCTGTTAGTTTTAATGTGTCACAAATATGTTTGTCCATTAGGTGCCCCTTTCCTGAAACTGGTGCTGGCTTAAAATGTAATTATAGATTATCAAAGGTAACATGAAAAAAAAATCTTAAAGGCTTAGTTACTAAAATGAGAATTGTTGTCAGTTCAAAGGGACTTTACAGTGAATTCAAAACTTAAGGTCAAAGTAGCTCAACTGGAACCCTAACTGACTTGAAGAATTTTGGCCTTAAATTTATAATTCACTTTAAATTCATTTTTCATTATCACTTGGATTGGCCAGAATGTGTAAAACATATATACTATTGTCAAAGTGTGCAATGCAATCAGATATGTGGTGATAGTTTTTGAAAGTTGTACCCGTATTTAAAACATGTTTTGAGATTTAAATTGTGTAGCTTGTTTATGACAAATTATAGTACATTTTTTAATTTATGTTCCATGATGAACATAATACCATGAAATTCAATAAACATTTCAAATTCTTTTTTCTAGCACAGTTAAGAACCACAATTTTTGAACACATGTATAAATATTAAAGGTTTATTGCAAGAAGTACCCTGGTGGAGCTCCCCGGTAATGGGACAAACCATCTTTGAACAGTTTACCCTATTACCTGGGTCCCCACCGGAAGGTTGTCCTCCTCTCCTGCTGGCTTAAAACATATGGCTACTAAAGAGCTGCAGCAGCTGGGTGCTAACCCATTGGAATTCATTAGCTGCAATTCATTGGCTAAATGCACCAATGCTCACTTTCAGTCGATGAATGACATTATGTGAATATAAGTATACATAGAATTAATATTAGCCAGCCCACCACCCTAATTTTATCACATGACAGGAGGCTTCATATTTTGCATAACTTTCTTTACTTTATGCCTCCAGCAGCACAAGTCAATCAATAAACTTTAAACCAATCAGTAACAGGCATCACATTCATATATAAAGCCCTGACAGTCACATGACTTCCTCTTTCTTTGCTGCTTACCAGCCAAGGCACAGGTCAGAGTATTTTGCTCCAAACTGTTTTACTGAATATTGCAATTGTCATTAGTTAATCATTTATTGCTTAACTTTCAGTTTGTTCCAAACTGTTTTTATTAATATTGCTATGGTCACTGTAGTTAGACACCTTATGCTAGACATTCAGTTTTAATCCTAACTGTTTTTTCTGGATACCACTTTAATTAAACTTTATTAATTGACTTTCAGTTTCCTCCAACTGTTTTTATTAATATTGCTATGGTCACTTTAGTTAGATTTTTAATGCTAGACATTCAGTTTTTGCTCCAAACTGTTTCTGGATATGCATGGGCACTTTTGTTAAACTTTATTAGCTTGTCCTGCAATTTTGGCCTAAACGTTTTTCATTATTTTGCACTTGCCTTCCATTTGGATTTGTATAGTGTGATATTCTCCCCCTGTAACCCTTCCCCTGAATTAACCCTGTATTTTCTGCTTTATTAGCCTGTTTTCTGTTGCTGGCACCTTTTCTTTCCTATGCTTTACTCTGGTCTCGCATGGATCGCGGCGTTTTACCGCGAGCACGCTTTTTATTCATTGGTGCTGGGACTTCAGGGCAGGTCTCTGGGGGTTAGGGGTGTCTGGGGGACTCTTTTCCATGCCGGCAGACCGCGATCGTATCCTCGATCGTGGGCCGCACGGCACTTTTGCGCGCGAACGGCGGCCATCTTGAATCTCGCGGCACTCGCGAGATTCACGTCGGCCATGTCGTTTGGCCAGTTCGTGATTCCCACGAACTGGCGGCTAGTTCTGTACTGTTTCATATATTTTCCTGTGAAATAAAAGTTTTACAAGTACTTTTGAGCTCAATACTGTTCATGGGCATGTGGAATAAAGGTTTTATATGTACCTTTCCTGGAAGATTATGAATGGACTGTTCACTGCTGAGCTCTATACTGGCATATTTCATTGGCATGTGAAATAAAAGTTTTTATATGTAACTCTGCATGAATATGTAGGACTGATCCCTGCTGTGTGCATCTGCTGACAGTTTGCTCTATTCTGTTCTATACAATTGACATGTTGAATAACAGTTTTATTGTACATCTGGAGGATTATGAATGGACTGTCCCCTGCTGTGGGCATATAGTGGATGCATTACTCTATCTACTGGCAGGGAAATTAAATAGAGCTGATATCTTACTCAGCTCCCTACTCCCACTGGACCTCACAACCACTGGATACACTCCTTCCCCACAGGGATACACCTCCCAGGACACATAATGGAGTGATTAACAGGGGTGACCCCCCTTACGCTGGGTGACCCCCAAGCGAATCTGGTTCCTGTCCTAGTGACATACATATACTGGGGTGATCCCCCTACGCTGGGTGAACCACAAGCGAATATTATTCCGGTACTAGTGACATACATATACTGGGGGGGTCCCCCACGCCCTAGGATGGGCTCATATCCACGGAGTACAATCTGTTACTGTATGCACAGACTGGGTCACACTGGATACATGTATATCGACAGAGCCAGGAAGGAGAGCTCACTGTGCTGCCAATTCTCCACAGTACTATATCCTATAAGGGTGACCCCTTGGATAATTTGGAGGCTACCATACCTCCCCATACACGGGCTACGTCCCAACATTACTGACCGCTCATCCCGGTCTTATTGAGGGTGACCCCCTCCTCAGACCACTCCCAGGAAATCTCTAAATGGTACTGATTGAAACAATTCAGGGTGACCCCCAGTCGTACGTGGAGGCCCACTAAGTGGCAATAAGTATACTACCGTACCTGACACCTGTTCGGTACCCCATAGACCGAAAGAGTGTCCCAACACGCCATAAGAGACATTCATACAGGGGTGACCCCCCTATGCTGGGTGAACCCCAAGCGAGTCTTACTCCGGTGCTAGTGGCATAGGTACAAAGGGGTGACCCTCCGCACCCTTTCTAGGGCTTCTACCTTCAGAGTACGCTCTGTCATTGTATGCACAGACCAGGGCGCACTAGATGCATGTATTCTGGCACCTCTATGCTTCAACTGGGGTTCCGTATGCCCTTCCCTTAACCAAGAAGGAGAACTCACAGTGCTGCCAAAACTCCACAATTCTAGACCATATAAGGATGAACCCCGTGGACTATATATATTGAGGCTTTCACGTCTCCCAGACTCGGGCTACGTCCCGACATTGCAGACCGCTCATCCCGGTCTTACTGAGGGTGTCCTCATTCTCAGACCACTCCCCGGATCCTGCGAAAATGATACTGATTGATCAAAATTCTGGGTGACCCCCAGTTATACGCGGAAGCCTACTGAGTGGCAATAAGTGTACTGTTGTACGATCCTGTCTCCCACGGACCGAAAGGGTGTGAACCAACATGTCGGACTTACCTCAATATCCCCGACCGATTTTCAGGCGAGGATTAAGGCTGCCATGACAGCTCCGGGGGAAGAAGTCCTCTCCAGTATGCTGGCTAACAACCCATCCGACAGAGCAGGTGCAACGGCAGCAACACCAATGGAAGATTGAGATACCGACGTTAGGTCGGACACCCATCATCAGGGGACGAGGACTTCATCCTTCCCCCCTTCTCTGGAGATCATGAAAGAATGGAGGGCAGAAGAGGTAAAAGTGACAAGACACGCCTAGCAAGAAAGGTTTTTTTCTTTGGCACACTGGACACTCCTGTTTTGACTCACGCACCATCCGACAACCAGGGTCATCCGAATGGGGTTAACTGGAGCACCGGGCCCACTTCTGGCTTAGGAGGCCTATGGGAAAAGAAATCCGAGACCGGCTCAGGATGGAATGCCCACACCCTCTATGTCCGAACAAGATAGTCCTCACTATGGAGCTCGTGGTGATATGTATGTCCCGATCAGTGTGTAGGAGGAGGACTCAAAATGAGTTAAATACTGGATATGATCAGCCCGGGAAAAAATTCTATACTTTGTGGACCTGACCCCACACAAGACTCACCTCTAGAAGCTCACGATGTGAGGGAATGGGTGCAAAGGGCAATATGTAAGTTGGGGAACGCAAGGCAGACAGGTGCATAGAACGCCGCAAAGCAGCCCGATTAAAGATGGATTTCAAACTATTGAAGTTAGGGACGAAAGAGCGAGGACCTCAGGCAGACGGACTATCGTTTGGAGAACCATCTCAGCAACGGTTTGGTAGTAAGGAAGAAGATAGGAGACTATCACCCAGTCATCAACCTATGCCAACCCAATGGTTTTGGGGCGTACCGACAACTCAAGAAGGAAGGTATCCATCTCTTAGGGGATCTACAAGGTTGGACTTGAAGGGCACTTACCTATAGGTTCACATGGTGCCTCATGAAGTTTCTGAAGTCGGTCACTGCGCACTGAAAAGCAAAGGGTATCTGCTGTCACATACCTAGACGACTTACCTTTTGCAAATCCAATTCATGACTACGTTTACAAACGAGATTTATGTTTACAGTTTCGGGAATTGTTGGGATTCATAGTGAACAGAGAGGAGTTGGTTCGATCCCAGTTCCGAGTGATTCAGTTCCTCTATTTCAGAATAGATTCCACCTTGGGCGGATTACACCTTCCCACATCATTGATAGCGACGATTCGTAAGGAAATTCGACGGGTACGGCGGAAAGGCACCATAACCCTTTGACTATTTCCCAGGACTGCTTCACTACCAGGCCAGACAGTGGCTGAAAGCTCACTGCCTGAGATACGGACACACCTATGAAATTGGGATCAGAATAGCGAAGACTTCGATAGTACTCATTACTGTGGGTAAAGGAGGCAAGCGTGACACCCAGAAGGGTTGTCCTTAATCAGGATCATCCTCTGCTCCTTCCGTTTTAACTTGCCTTTGGGCGGATCCAAAAGGAGAACATCATCCATTGAGAATGCAGGAGCATCTGGAGTTGGTAGATTGGTGTCTTCCAGGGGAGACTGGTATGTCAAGGGACTATCGCAACCAACTAGAGACCTACTATGGGACTCATGGACGCCAGGTATTCCCCGAAATAACTTATCCGCATGGAACACCTTGAGTTCGCTGGTGTATGGGAAGGGACTGCGATCCCTTTATTACCCCTATCTCCACGATGCTGGATCTTTATCATACCTTTTCACTACAGGCCGATCGGAACGTTCCATTAACGGGCTACGTTCCGCAATTTCGACGATGCATAGCACGATTCACGACACTCCGGTCAATCAAGAGCCTTTGATATGCCATTTTCTGTGGGGTATCAAACCGTCCAGAACCATGCGTCAAAGTATCACTGGTGTGGGACTTTGATTTGGTTCTTTTGGAGCTAGTCAGATATCACGGTCCTATCCCTCAGTCAGCCATTAGCCAGAGTCACGTTACTTTTAGGTCTTTTCGTCGGGTATCAGATGTACTGGAGTTCGACGTAGACGGTCTTTTCGGTATCACCGGAAAGAATAATTTCTACAGTGTCTCGTAGAACTATATCTTATCCGTGTCCGTATCGTTCCCTGTTACCGACGGTTTCCCAGCCTTTGTGCAGTTAAAGGGGTACTTTGTTACATGGAGATCACGACAACATTTAGAATGTCACATTCAGGACATCTGCTGGTCTTATACCAACCGTACAAGCCAGTTACCATGAACACTCTGTCTAGATGGGTTCATTGGTTGTTATCGCTAGCGAGGGTGGAGACGTGTTTGGGTACTCATTCGGTAAGAGGCGCAGCTGCTTCTCAGGCCTTTACGAGGGGGCCTCTATATTTTCAGCGACGAATTGGACATGGATAGACTACTTCCGTATATTTATTTTCGTCAACCACACACGCATCCTTCACGCTCATACCACAGCTTTAAAAATGCAAAATATGAAGCCTCCTGTCATGTGATAAAATTGTAGATTATGCTAACGTAGTGTACCTATAATCTTAATTTTAATAATGACAGGAGGCGAGTATTTTCCCTCCCTGTTTCCCTCCCTATAATCTGGAAATTTTTTAGATTTTGGTTTGTCATTTTCTCAGTGTAAATTATAAGGTTTGGTAATTCAGTATATTTATGGGATGCTTATTTGGTTGATATGTGTTAGATCCGTGTTGATTATTAAGTATACTATGGTTTGTTTAATGTTTCAGTATATTAACTTAATATAAATATAGACACATATAGTACTGGATTTAAAGTGGACAACAGTTGGTTTCCATCACCTTTCACGTATTTCTGTTCTTTTCAGCGTAATCATCATAGATGGATTCGACAAGATAAAGCTGGAAGGTTTCAAGTTATGTTCTACACGTTACTCAGGACTGTTATTTGAATTCCCTGACGTTATAATAGACTGTTTTTCGCATCAAAGAAAGAGGAAGTCATGTGACTGTCAGGGCTTTATATATGAATGTGATGCCTGTTACTGATTGGTTTAAAGTTTATTGATTGACTTGTGCTGCTGGAGGCATAAAGTAAAGAAAGTTATGCAAAATACTCGCCTCCTGTCATTATTAAAATTAAGATTATAGGTACACTACGTTAGCATAATCTACAATTATGCCCCAGTGACATTGTTAGAGGTGGAATTGGAATTATGCCTAGAGCAGCAAGTTTTGTATTCCTAACACTATAGTGTTCTTTTAAAGGGACACTATAGGTGCCCAATTTGTTTTGGAGGGTCAGATTATTCAATGAAATATGTATGGAGGGCTGAATGCATAACATATAGATACAATAAAAAAAGTAACAATATAGAAACAAAAAAAAGAAGCAGGCACAAAGAACAACTTCACATAATGTCATAAAAAATATATTACTTTCTTACAACATCAAAAAGTGGTGCATTTGTGTGTAGTGTTGGAGTTTGAATGCAGGGGTATGTTTGTGTGTAGTGGGAGTTTGAATGCAAGGGTGAGTTTGCATGTAGTGTTTGAATTCAGAGGTGTATTTATATGTTGTTTTGGTGTTTGAATGCAGGTGTGACAAACTGCCCTGGAACTCTGTTATTTCCCCTAAGCCCAAGTTGTTTTCCCTTTGGTTTGGTATTTCTATCTACCAAGCTCAGACCACCCCCTGGCTGATTATCTTTAAATCTTATCTTCCACAAACTTAAAGGACCACTCTAGGCACCCAGACCACTTCAGCTTAATGAAGTGGTCTGGGTGCCAGGTCCTTCTAGGGTTAACCCATTTTTTCATAATTATAGCAGTTTCAGAGAAACTGCTATAATTATGAATGGGTTAAGCCTTCCCCTTAATCCTCTAGTGGCTGTCTCATTGACAGCCACTAGAGGCGCTTGCGTGCTTCTCACTGTGAAAATCACAGTGAGAGCACGCTAGCGTCCATAGGAAAGCATTGTAAATGCTTTCCTATGAGACCGGCTGAATGCGCACGCAGCTCTTGCCGCGCGTGCGCATTCAGCCGGCGGGGCGTAACGGAGGCGGAGAGGAAGAGGAGAGCTCTCCGCCCAGCGCTGGAAAAAGGTAAGTTTAAACCCCTTTCCCCCTTCCAGAGCCGGGCGGGAGGGGGACCCTGAGGGTGGGGGCACCCTCAGGGCACTATAGTGCCAGGAAAACGAGTATGTTTTCCTGGCACTATAGTGGTCCTTTAAGTGCTCTCTCTGGGTGGCCACCATTCGTATAACCAAAGGACACGTGCTCTGGAAAACAGTGGTCATCTTGTTTCCCGAACGCAGGCACAGGTACTTGGTCGTCAAGTGTCTAGAACTCCAAGACGGATACCTTGCAAACCTCTGTAACTTTGTGCCGCCATCTGCTTCTGTTCCCGACAAGCCAGGAGAGCGATGTTCTGCGAACAAGGAGCACAATTGCTACCTATAAGTCAGGGGAACATATAGTTTATTTTCGAGTAGGAACTCCTAAACACTGACCGACTACAACCACTTTTCTTATGGAACTAATTTGGGCAGACGCCACATGTTTGGTCGGTCCAAACTTTATCTGGATGGCGATTTTGTTCTACTGAATAAATCTGAGCGCTATTTGGACAACATGGTCACTCGGATCTGGTTCCTATTATTATTATGTATGTTTTGGGGTGTTTTATTTTTTATGCATTGTACCTCTAGAGCCTGGGAGATAAATAGTTTAAGAAAAGTAAACTCACTTATCTCCCAAACACAAAGATGCCTGGGTGTGTTGTTACTATGTTTTGGCTGGAGACCTGCTGGGGGTATGTGTGTAAAAGTGGGCAATCTGGCCATAATAAAACATTCCTGTTACAGCCTTCATCAAGTCTCAAATGATGTTTGGGTATGTGAACGACTAAGAGCTATAATTTACATGAGGTGGCTGCGCTTCTCCTTTCCTCTCACCTCACCACTTGCCCACTCAATCCTGTCCCATCTCACCTTATCAGATCTCTCTCCCCTTGTCTTATGCCTTCCTTAGCACACATTTTCAACTTCTCTCTCTCTTCTGGCATTGTCCCTCTGACCTTAAACATGCCACTGTAGTACCTATCCTGAAAAAACAATCTCTTGACCCCATCCTCCCCCTCTAACTATCGTCACATATTCCTGCTCCCTTTTTCCTCAAAGCTTCTAGAAAGACTTGTCTTTACCCATATGTCTCACTTACTCAATTCCAATTCCAATCCAGCTGGATCTTCCTCCAGAATGGACTTCCCAAACAAGGAGCAGCAGTGAATGGCCCAGCAGTACCAAAGTCTCAAGCGAAAATGCTGAAAGACCTACTAGAAGCTCAGGGATGTACGGCAAGTAATAAGAAGAAATCAGCGTGTATAGCCGAACTGATGGAGGGCAACCAAACCATTAATGTACTGACAGAAAGCATGGAGGATATAAAGTTCCAGAGAGACGTAAGATGGAGGCACGGCATAATGGGACCCAACGCCCCACAGGAGTCGATTGTGCAAATTATGGCACAATCCACGGCAGAACAGACAGCCCGGCAAGCATACAACAAGGAGATGCAGGGTCCCCACTGGGGCACACTACTCAAGAACTGAAGATGTTAGATTATACAGCATTTGACAGAGAAATGGACATTTTGAAATGCAATGTGCATTGGAGAATGTAGATTAAGGAACCTGGGCTGCTATACTGAGCAGCAAGTTATCTAGCAGAGCAGCAGAGGCTTACTGGTCAGAACACGACTCGCAAATCCACAACTAACGAGATCCTGGCTGGTTAAGGGATCGTAAACCCATGACCATAGATGAGGCAGCCAGGCTGGCTGACGAGTATCAAGATGGAAGGAGATTAGAACACAGTGGAGGGCAACCCCCATTCAGACCATCCTATCCAGCGCAATACACTCCTCCACCCTCCAGGCCCACTCCATTCAACCCTTCCCCAACAGCTTTCCAGAGAACTGGACCCTTGTCCCATTGTAGCAACCAACCCGGACATTTAAAAAACAATTGCCCAAAACAGAATAGGGGAAACTGGGAACATACACCACCTCAGCCAGTTCTGGCCGCAGCACACTGTTATCAAGAAGACTTATGGCTGGCACCAAGTTGCCCTGATGAACAGTGGACTGCGTTGCATGAAGTGAATCCCATCCAAGTGGCAGTCGACAACTGGGAGCGCCACCAGCAGTCGGTGATCATGAAGCATGAGGGCTCCAAGACACCAGTGCAAACTTAATTACCTTAAAGACCGGTTGACCCAGACATTATTTTGGCCGGAAATCACACGGGATCTGCAAGATTACTGCAGGACCCGTGATGTCTGCCAATGGATAGGAAAAATGAGTGACCATCTGAAGGCAAAGTTGCATCCTTTGCCCATAATCGAGGAACCCTTCTACCGAGTAGTGGTAGACTTAGTCGGGCCCTTCAGTAGATCCAGCACTTCGGGGAAAAATTATATCCTCTCCGTAATGGATTATGCCACCCAGTATCCCAAGGCAGTGGTAAAAATATTCCCTGAAGTAGCGTTCCCCAGAGAAATTGTGTCTGACCAAGGGATCCAATTCATTTGGCAAAGCTGTGAGGTAAAGCCGATCCTCAATTCACCTTACCACCCCCAGATGAATGGGCTCTGAAAGCGCTTCAATGGCACAATGAAATTAGGAAAACAAATTTACCTCACCTCTTGTTTGACTACCGAGAGGTTCCTCAGGAGTCTACAGGGTTCTCCCTCCTATACGGGAGAAAAGTATGGGGACCCCTGGAGCTCATATAGAAACACTAGGAGGGATACACTGGGGATTATACCAAAGTCCTGGAGCTGAGGCACTGCCTACAGACTTTCACAGAGTCCAATTGGGAGAACCTTCGTTGGGCTCACTGGAGGTGGTACGATAGGGGAGCCGGAGATAGGATCCTAAAAGTGGGGCAAAAAGTGCTCCCCCTCAAACCCACGAAAAAGGACAAGCTACAGGCTGCCAGTTAAGGGCCCTTCAGGGTAGTAGAACGCATAAGCGACACTACCTTATGTGCTGGAGTTGAGGGATCGCCTGCAGGCATTAACTGACTCCGTTCGGGAGAATCTGCAGGTGGCTCAGCGATGCCAGAAGAGGTAGTATTTGATGTGCTCGAGATAGGGTCCTAGAAATAGGACTAAAGGTATTATCTCCGAAGCAGACCAAAAATGACAAGCTTCAGACCACCTGGCAGGGACCCTTCGTGTAGTGGAGTGCATAAGTGACACTACCTACATAGTAGGGAAGTGTTCAGATGAAAAGATACGACGATCATGTGATTATGTTGAAACCATATTTTGAGAGAACAGAGGAAGTGGATGCAGTATGTGCCCCCTCTTTTGAGTACAGCGAGAACCTTCCCCTACCCAACCTGCTCTCCCCATCTACGGGGAGCTTGGAACAGGTTAGCCTGAGGGGAAAACTGAGCCCAAGAAATAGGAAATCTCAGAGGCTACTCCAGGGGTACAACAAGATGTTCTCTGCCCTACCTGGGTACACCTCTGCAGCGGTCCACCGAGACCCAGGGAGAAACCCCACTATGGCAGCAGCTTTATCGCATCCCTGAAGCAGTTAGTGAGAGCATGTTAAAGGAAATTCAAGACATGTTAAAGACAGGGATCATAGAACGTTCCCAGGGTCCATGGACTTCCCTGATAGTGTTGGTACCGAAGTGATACGGTACATCTCGCTTCTGTATCGACTAATGGAAGCTTAATGACAGGACAGTTACCAACACCAACCTTATGCCCCATATAGATGACCTGTTAGATAGTATGGCCGGGGGGAATTATTTGACTACCATAGATTTGTGCAAGGGTTATTGGCAAAGCTCACTTGAACTTGGGACCATTCCTAAAGTCGGCATACGTCACCCCGTTTGGGCTTTTTCCTGTTTAAGGTTATGCCATACGTGATGAAGAATGCCCCAGCTACGTTTCAGCAAATGGCCGACTGGCCCTTGGAGGGATTTCAGGACTTTGCGTGTGCGTACCTAGACGACATAGCCACCTACAGCCACACATGGGAAGACCATCTCAAACACATAGCTATGGTACTTGAGAGAATCCATGCAGCAGAGCTGATGGTAAAGCGCAACAAATGCCTTGTCGGTATGGCTGAAGTACAGTATCTCGGTTATATAGTGGGCTCTGACAATCAACGCCCTGAACCAGCCAAAGTCAAGTCTATTGTTAACTGTCTCCAATAACATACCAAGACCCAGGTACTAGTTTTTCTAGGGACAGCAGGCTACCACTGCAAGTTTGTCCCTGAGTACAGCGCCCTTGCCACTGACCTTACCAAGACAAGTAGTGTGGTCCCCGGGGTGCGAGGTCACCTTTCAAAAGCTAAGTCAGCGCTAAGTGAAGCATCTATGTTGGCTGCCCCAAACCACACTAAAAAGTTTCTCGTCCACACAGATGCCTCCATGTTTGGGCTGCGAGCAGTGCTAAGCCAGGTGGGGGACGACAGAATGGAACATCTGGTGCCATATCCCAACAGAAAACTTTTACCCTGAGAGGTCAGCTATGCCACTGTGGAGAAAGATTGCTTGACCCTTGTATGGACATTAACGAAATTGCAGCTCTATCTCTTTGGACGTCCCTTCACGCTAATGACTGACCAAAACCCCTCATCTGGTTTAATCGGGTAGCTGGAAATAACCCCCGCCTACTGCACTGGAGCCTGGCCCTCCAACCGTATAATGTTACCATGCAGTACCGACCAGGCAATCAGAATGGCAACACGGATGGGCTATCTCAACAGACCCAACTGGAACCCTAATTCATACTCTCGGACACTTGGGCTTAGGGAAATTAACAGAGTTCCAGGGCAGTTTGTCACTGCAGGGGTGTATTTATGGGCACTGCTGGCACTTGAATGCAGGGATGTATGCACTGCCACACACACTCACACAAACACTGACAGAGACTGTCACTAGTCTAATACTATCCTTACCTTTTTGTGTCATTTTACCCCACTCCCTCTAGCATGTAAGCTCACTGAGCAGGGCCCTCAACCCCTCTGTTCCTGTGTGTCCAACTTGTCTTGTTACAACTACATGTCTGTTTGTCCACCCATTGTAAAGCGCTGCGGAATTTGACGGCGCTCTATAAATATCATAATAATAATACTCAGATACACACCTATACAGGTACACAGACACACATATAAGTAACAATTAAAAGCTAGAAAGCTTATGGCAGAAATGTTCTCTTTTTTTTCTGTTTTTGAAATAATATGTACAGCCAGGGGGATGTTTAATTAACTCCTTTGTCCTTACATTTTTGGTGGCTTCCAAGAATCCAGTGGGAGCTAACTGACCAAAGCTGATGGGAGTCTGAAGTTCCAGGCTTCACTCCCCCCTTCCTGTATGTGCCTGCTCCTGCCTCCCCAGGCAGCTCTTAGTAAACTGGAAGGCAGGGACTTGATCTAATTTCCTCCCAGCAGGCCATGGGGAGAAATTAATGCAGCGCTTTTAAAGGGCTGCGGGACCCAACTCTTCTGATCAAAGAGCTCTCCCAAGTACCATATCTACCCAATGGACCTCCACCACTGCCTTTATTGCTGCACCACCTCTAACTAATTTTACACATGTGAAAATGCTTTTCTTCGCAGCGGGCCAAATTTGTAGGCAGTGTGTTTGACAGCCCTGATCTAGATATCTTGACAGTAGTATGTAACTCACGATTTATCTAATAAAACATTATCTACACTGTGAAATTCTTAACATTGCAAACGTGAAATACTGTAGGTGTGAATGTTTTGGCTAGTTATGCATATGAACTCTACATATCTGTATAAGGCTGCAGGCTCTCTCTCACGAGAGTGTTTGTAAAAAGTATCTAATTATGGTTTGTTTTCTCATACCACTGTGGGATATGTAGCTTTCCAGCTAGAAAGCTTATGGCAGAAATGTTCTCTTTTTTTCTGTTTTTGAAATAATATGTACAGCCAGGGGGATGTTTAATTAACTTTTAGTATTTTAGCATACATTTATTTTGTCAAAAGACTTGTCTAACAAAGATATTTAAAGTTCCAAAGTGATAAAGAGCCTAATGCCTCCACATATTTCTTTAGAGATTCAGATGCTACTTTAAATGGACACTATAGGCACCCAGACCAGTTCATCTCAATTCTGAAGAATGGCAATGTTTTCATTGCTGGGTTTCAATGCCCCTAGTGCCTGTCACACAAACAACTTGTGAAAAAAAAAACACAAAAAAAACCAGAATTAAGATTTTAAAAAAATGATAATAATCAAAACTGTGATGCAGCAAAATTAACCCTTCTACAACCCGCAAGAGAACACCGGAGACTGAGCTCTCATAGCAGCTTTCTCACGTGTATCAGCTGTGACATCATGTGTGAAAATTTCAGACACGATGCAATATCAGTAGGAGCGCTCTGACTGGTAAACCACCCAATCAGAAAAATCTGTCAACCAAGTCTGTAGAGAATTCTCACTTCTGTATGGACATGCCACTATTTGGTACTATTGTCCACATCTTTAATTAGAAACTCTCAATGAGAGAACCAATGGTATTAATCATAATAATCTGGAAATGTACAATATTTTCATTATGGGCATGGGAATGTTTTATCTGGATTGTATGGAATAAAAACACAAACTGAGTATATATAGAGTGGCACCAATTTGAAACTCCTCTCAAAGCAATTGTTATTATCTGTTCTCACTGTTTTTTAAATTTTACTTCATGTCATCTGCATCAGTCTGTGTGAAAATCCATCAAATAAATGATCAGATTTCAATTGACTAAACAGTAAAGGCACCATCACACTTATACTGCCTTTAAGGTAAACTGAGGTCTGCCAGAAACTAATCATCATTACAGTATGAACAGTTCTCCTCAGTTGTTAAGATGCCCATACATTTAATCTCTTAATTTCAAATGATTTGTATTTTGTCCTGTGTTTTGTGTTTGATTGCTTTTTTGGCCTGTTTTCTTTCATTTCCACATAATCATTACTAGTATGATGTCAGTTTGTTTCCGTACCCTCCCACGTGACTATTTCGCTTTGCATTTTACCTGAAAGTTGGTTGTTTTCATTATCTCCTTGTGCAAAAGACTGCAAACCATGAACAAGCTGGTCCGATGAAAGACTTGCGTAGGTCGGATCTTGAAGGCACTCATTTTTGACTGCAGGGTTATTTGAAAGAATGCCACATTTATTACGACTTGCAAGAAAACAAGAGCTCGGTGAAGCTGTAAATGTTGCTTTGCTTGCATCTAAAATTAAAAGAAACATTTTGTTAAATGTCTCGATGTGCATTATCACAGACTTAAAACTAGGAGGCGGCTGGAATGATAAAAGCCTTTCCTGTTTTCTCACATACTGACTGATTATGCTTGTGTGTACAAAATTCATCTTAACAAATAAGTCAAAACTAAAATGAATGGGACACACCCAGTCTCTGTTCCCTTTTCTATTTTTCTCCTTTGTGATTTTCTCCTTCTTTTTAAGCTTTTTTGGATTAATTCTCCTTTAACATTTTTTTTCTCCTTACTCTTTCTTCAATTGTTCCTTATCCACCAGCATTTTTGCCCTAATTCCCCATAAAGCACCTTTTCCCTTGTTGTGTTCTTTTCCTTTTGTCAATCTTTCTATCCTGAAATGGTGAGGTGTCTCGGATATCTGTTTTAGACATGTGTATAGCAATTTGGGGGATTAGAAGTTTATGTTACCTCACCCTTTAAATCTAGCCTCCAACCCTTCTCCCCCTCTCCTTATGAAAACACATTTGTGGTTTTCTAAATAATAGACGTAGAAATGAAATCTTCAAGGAAATGCTTAAAGATACTCAAAAAAGACAGAAAATGAGCATATAATTACTGGAAGAATAGTTTTCAAGAGTGAAAAGTGCATTACAAATTGAGGATAAATATTAAAAAAGAGATTAAATAAATACATGTGTGAGAGAAGATAGAATTAATAAACATATTGTAAAGATTAGGTGGATGAAATCAAATAAGATATATAAAATAAAGGTGAACACTATAAGATAGAGTTTCCATCAAATTAACTGGGAGACATATGTAATGAATATAGAGACAAGATGAATGTAGAAGATGAAGAAAATAGGATGAGTTATGAGATAAAATCATAAATTAAGGGAAAATAAATGTGGAGGACGTATGAAATTGTGGGTGATGTTCTTAATGTACGGACAAAGATGGTGAAAATGTTATATAAATATAAAGGGATTTCTGTTCTACAAGTGTTATGTGTCATAAAAACTTTATTCACTAAATAAAATTTGAGTGATAGCTTGTAAAAATGATGCGAGTTTTAATTTATTTTGAAGGGGCAAAAAACATTTGGTGTGCATTGTCAGCTTACCTGCATTCTTCATATACTTGTCCAGCAAATTCTGAAGCTCTTGTTCTTTGTCATTATTAAATTGTGTTTCCACTGCAAGCAATATGTATTCATCAAGTAGCATGCGGATTAAGTGGAATGAACCTACAACAAAACAGACAACAGACATCACTTAATTATTTGGGTATTACCTGAAGCATAGCAAGGAAATGAGGACCCTGTGCTGTACTCAAACATAGTTGCATACCATCGACAAAGTGTGGATCCTTTGCTTAGGAAATGTTTTTCAAATATAGGTATATATAAAATATATATTTTTAGATTAGTAAAATGGCTAATCATTTCATGCCTATAACCAACCATTTTTTTTATTTACTATCATCCATCGCATACACCTATTACCCAACTACCCATTTTGTGTACCTGCTATTGACAAAAACAACTCTGATCCCCAGCTAATCTTATTAAATCTACCCTGGCATCAATTTAATGGTTCCCTTCTACTCAACTGCTTTGTCACTGCCATCTGTGTTTGCTTGGTCCCTGATCCTGTTATCATACTGGCACACACATGTATAATTTGTTATACGTTGCCCTTTAAAGGGTCAAAAAGAGAGAGAGTGTAATTTTCTTATCAAGTGACCATCTCTTAACATTGGGAGAAGCAAATAAATAAATGCTGAACTTTAAATGACCTACCAAATCCAACATGGGTTAGATTCTGTGTTCCTTGTCTAATCTGTAGATACATTACTCACATGGTTCAGTATATTTACTGTCTAATGGTATACAAAGTAGATCAAAGAGCCTACTGATGAAAGTAAGACATGACTATCCCAAGAGAAAGCATATTACCTCACAATGAGTTGGTTGCTCTGAGTATATTTACTTTTTTCTCATTGTAAAGATAATAGTGAATAGACACTATAGAAACTCAATTGAAAGGAGATGGGGATTTTAAAAATATTACTTTCCAAAGTTTTTCTTAATGATTCCAAAATGATCCCTACATGTTAAAAGCCTTTATATGCTATTATAAGCATTTAGAATTGTAGATATTTAGATCATTATTTATTTTTTTTTGAATTACAAAAACATTGTTGTGGTATATATGCCATATCTGGGAAATATAAAATAAGTTACTAGTATTATATATGTTTATAATAAAATAATACCAAAACTTGATGCATTGTTCAGAGTCAGATTGTGCATAACACGAGCGCCAAAGAAACTCCATTTCAACAGAAAATCCTGAGCTCTCTTCTTCAAAGACTTTCCGTTTTGCTTGCTTGCCTAAAAATACAATCAGAGTCATACTGTAAAATATCTTAATACAAAGAAAAAAGTTTTAACCTTACATCAAGAACACTAAAATAGCGAATCTGTGGGATTATTTAAACGATTATTTAAACGATAATTTAAACGATTATAAATAAAAGGTGTGTTTTGGGTTCAAAATGGCTACTTTGGCCTAACGTTTGCAACTTATCTCACTATGTAGTTAACAGATGCTTATACTTTTGTAAAAATTATAGCAAAAGTTATGAAGGTTTTTAAACAGTTTTGAATAATTAAGACACCATCTTTTCTAATCATCATTAGTTTAATATGCTAAACATTTTATTGTATATTCTTATAAGCAGGAGTTCTTTCACTCCATGTTTTTTGTTTTATTTGTCACCAAAATGCATGTGTATTTTGAAAGTCCTTTGATCTGTTCTGTTCACAACATTGATCATTTTTTAAATAAAATATTGCAGTTACCTTAATTACTCTTTGCTCTACAACATTGTCCAGCCATTCTATAAAAGATTCCACTGTGGCATTTTTCTTTAATAGGTCTTTCAGCTCTTGAAACACTGTAAAAACATGAGAAACTGTGGAATTAGTGGTCTAAATAAATGTCAACAGCTTATCAAGTCACAAGATGTGTACACTGAATTATATTCAATCAGTGATGCGTTATAAGAAAACCAATTAGATGTTCAGGAAATATAGGAACCAAAAATAAAACCATTGAGATCAACTAGTATCAGCTGAGTAACCTAAGTCTAAATTAGTGTCCTTAAGCCAATTTGAATTGTGCCTCTATCATATTCTGGGCTGGTGCTACCATAAGGCAGCACATGCAGCTGTCTTATGGCATATTGGTCCAGAGCATGCAGTCTCTGGGTGACCAGCAGGAGGGGAGCACACAGTACAGCGCTCTTCTCCTGCCGGTCAGGGCATGTAGCGTGACTGAGCTGTGGACTGTGGGAGAGGAGCTTCAGCTTCCCCTAGCCTGTTTGACAGAAAGTGCACGCAGGGATTGCTGAACAACTTCCTGTTAGACTGGGTAGGGGGAAACAAAAGCAACTCTACCCCAGTACATGGCTCAGCCACACTAGAAGGAAGAGGTAAGCTGGCACATGCTTCTTGCAGGGCTGGACTGGGGATACAAAGCAGCCTTGGAAAAAACTTGTATGCCAGCCCCAAAAGTCATTGTTGCATGTAGTACTTGTCTGTATATATGTGTGTGTGTGTGTATATATTATTGGTATGCTTCGTTTTCTAATTCAAAATATTGGTTCTGTCAGTGTAAAAAAATTAATTATACAGTAAGCATACTCACATGCAGACACAGACAATCTCACTGACACAAGCACACAAGCAGACAGACAATCTCATTGATACACAAACACATTGACATAAAAACACAAGCTCACTGATACACACAAATAGGCTCACTGGTACACACACATTCAAACTCTGACATTCACACAAGGTTACTACAGACAAGCTTGTTGGTATACAAACTCAAATTTCCTACAGACAAACTTACTGTCACACACATACGCATGCTCACTACAGATAAGCTCACTGACACACACATGCTCACTACAGACATGTTTACTGACACACACATGCTCCCTACAGACTAGCTCACTGACATACATACACACACACACACACACACACAAGAGCTCACTGACACACACACATGCTCACTACAAAAAGCTCACTGATACACACATGGTCACTACAAACTCACTGACACACAAACATGCTCACTACATAAAAACTCACTGACACAGATGCTCACTACAGACAAACTCAGTGACACACACATGCTTACTGAGAAAAGCTAGCTGACACAAACACACATACTCACTGCAGAAAAGCTCACCGACAAACACATGCTGACTACAGACAAGCTAACTGAAACACGCACAAGCTAATGGACATGCATGCACATGCTCATTACAGACAAGCTTACTCATACACGCACAAGCTCACTACAGACAAGCTCACTGACACACACATGCTCCCTACAGACAACCTCACTGACACACACATGCTCACTACAGACAAACTCACACACACACACACACATGCTCACTACAGACAAGCTCACTGACACACACAAATGCTCAAACCAGAGAAGTTCACTGACACATATACACATGCTCACTACAGACACGCTCACTGACACACACATGCTCACTACAGAAAAGCTAGCTGACACACACAAGCACGCTTACACTTAAGCGCACTGACCCATACACATGCTCACTAAAGATAAACTCACTGACACACACATGCTCACTACAAACTCACACACAACTACAGACAAGCTAACTGACACATTCTCACCACAGACAAGCTCACTGACACACACATGTTCACTACAATCTCACTGACATGCACACACACAAGCTCACTCACTATCAGGCACACACACTCAAAGATCACTCACTATCAGGCACACACACACACACACGGTCACTCACAAGTAGGCCCACACACACGCTCACTCACTATGAGGCACACATACACACACACACACACACACACAAGCTCATTTACTATCTGGCACACACACACACAAGCTCACTCACTATCAGGCACACACACACAAGCTCACTCACTATCAGGCACACACACACACACACACACAAGCTCACTCACTATCAGGCACACACACAAAATCAATCACTGTCATGGCCTGAAGCCTACCATCAAAGACTGTTGTGGGAGACTGTGAGGCGAAGTCTGTCCTCTTCCTTCCGGCGTGTGAGTGTGGGGGTGGGGCTTCAATACAGTAGGCATAGTCTGAATGTGGGGGCAGAGCATAGAGGCACCAAATTGCTGGAGATTCGGAAGGGAACCTCACAGTGTACCCTCCGGCCCCCTGGTAACTTAAATACAGCCCTTAGCACATCATCCCTTCAGCCCTCAGTACCTCCCTCCTTCTTTTCCTCAGATTGAGCTGTCACAGTCCAAGGGAAAATTGGCTGTGGGGAGTTGGCATGTTGAAAAATCCAGGGGGGGATTTTTTGTCCCCCTCTGCGGATGCCCATGGCTGCGATATGATGCTTATAGGCTTGTTAAATACCATGAAGAGAGTATTGTAGAAGGTGGAAGGTGAGGAGGCAGAAACGGTAGATTAACATGTAAAATGCTACATAGTTTTGTTCAGTGAACTGGGTTATTCACTAAAGTGAGAATTGTTGGAAAAGTGAATTCCAAATTTAAGGTTAAAGTACATGAACGGGAAGCATACACGACTTCCGATTTGTTATTCACTTTGAATTTCAGACAATCGATGATCAGATTAATCAGATGGATCATGTAGTGGTTTAAAGTTCCAACTACTTCTTGGATTGACATGATGTCATGACAGACTACACACAGATATTTCTGATACTAATAATTGTCACAGTGGCTCAGAGCATGTTCCATCTTCATTTGGATGGAAAAGGAAGTGCTTGCCAGTAAAAAGCTCAACATTACTATCAATTATTATGATTGCACACACTTTTTTATGAATGGGGAGCTACTGGTTGACTTAGAGGGTTATCTGACCACTCTATCCAATCAGATGTGCTCTGCAAACTTCCTGAAACTCCTCAATTTGTGGGAACTGGAGACCAGGCATCAGAGGAAACATTTGGGGTTAAACCGCTTGAGAATGGATAATTCACTGCAGGTGTTCATTTAATAAGCATTGCATGTGACAATGTGCATTTTAGATTATTTTAAAGTTTAAGATAAACCAAAATTCAACATAAAAATATATTTTTTAAAGTTAATAGTGAAACTGATGTATTCACTAAAGTGAGAGCTGTCAGGAATTCAAAGTGGATTGCAAATTTAAAGCCAAAATAGCCAAAGTGGGCAAATTCTCCAAGTCAGCTGTGCTACCAGTTTGGCTACTTAAATTTGAAATTCATGTTGAATTCCCAACAATTCCCACTTTAGTGAAATATGCATATAAGTCACATTAGGCATTGCACATAATTTTGCTTCTACTATTGAACATACTTTACTTATAAGAAAATGTGTAAAATCTGGGTTGCCTAATGCAACACACAGGGATGAGGGAGTCTGACTTGAGGTTACTGTTCTTTAATACTTTACTTATACACTAACATATTTAACTAGTTTGAAAAAGGACAATCATTTTGCTTTTTCTTTTCTAAGAAAAGGGTTGGTCTCTAAAAAGTGTTAATTTTAATTTTATCTGGAAGAGGTAAACCATATCCTCAGGAAAATGAGATCACACTTTGATCAACTTTATCTAATATTTAATATTGTTAGATACGCTATCCAAATAATATAATAATTCAAATAAAATTTCCAGTTTCACTTATAATGCCACAGTTGTAGACTATATCTTGAAACAAAATGAGAAATTGCTGCATTTATCGAGAATAAATTTAGAGGGGAAAAAAACACTGTTGCGTTCTAGAGCTTTTCATGTTAAAGACAGAACATGAACTTACACTCAGTGTAGACATCACAGTCAGAGTCAGCACCACTGCAGCTTGTAAGCAGAGCTTGTGAACCAATGCTGTACAAATCAACTTTCTCTATATCGGTTGTCATGGAGTTTACTACATTTTGATCAAACAGGGCTGGGCGTGCTATCTAGAACATATAAAACATAACAAAATCTGTATCAGTCACATGTCATGAAATGGTTTTGTTAAAAGATGGTAGACAATTAATGTATTTAGGGAAACGTTGGAAATAAAGAACAGAAAGAGGAAAATCATAGAGCGCACATACTGGGTAACTTACTAAGTTTGACTTGCCAGTAGAGATGTCGCGAACCGTTCGCGAACTTCTCGCGAACGGCTCGCCACGGTTCGCCACGAACCGTTCGTGGTGAACCGTGGCGAGCCGTTCGTGGGAAGTTTGCGAACGGTTCGCGACATCTCTACTTGCCAGTAACTGAAAGTAAATTCAGATTGAGTTAAAGTTTAAATAACCAAATTAGAAAGATTTTTCATAAAAGCTTTCTTTTCATTTTGGCTATTTCCATTTCAATTACCCTGGATTCCCCACAAGTCACACTTTGTTTAGTTATTGTAACATGATGTTGTTTTCAGAACTACAATGTAGTGAAGGTTTAGGTTATTTTGTGATGGTTGCTATTTTCTTAATCTACATTGTATGTCAAGTAGTGCTGGAACAGCCAGAACATATGATGTAAATTAGTGTGACTACTATTGTGCTCTGTGTGCACTTGCCTTGAAGATGCATGCATGTATACCGCACTTAAGAAGAGATGAACTTATTACTTCCATAGTGTACTGATACTCCATTTGTGAGTTGCTTGAACGTAATTGAGCATGACTATGATGTACTGTCTGGGATAGAGGTACTGTGGAGGTAAGTGTGTTTTATACTTACTACCACTGCACTCCTTATCCAGTTAAATACTTCAAAAGCATTTACTGTAAAAAGAAACGAGGAAAAGTGATGGTTCCTCTTTAATTTTGACAACTAAGAGAGAAATATTAGAGTAGCAATTAATATTTACAAATCATTTTTTATAAAGGAAAACATAGATCTTTCTTTCTATAAAATGTTGTTCTCCGTTTGATATAATGAAAATGTTTTACCAGATTAAACATATTGGGTATACAGTATTTACATCGATGTCCTGTACTACAGATAAGATTAGAGAACCCATAATGAAAAACCTAATTGGCATTGTGTGAAATTAAACATGTAAACCTGAGACTTAGATCATAAAACAGTTGGTGCATTAATCCCTTCACTGCAGTGGATTACTCTGTGTTGTCACGTGCAGAGGTTCTGGAATACAGAGAATGATTAAATGTTCCAATGAGGTAATCAGATGATTACTCGTCATTATACTAATTAAGGATGCCCCTAATGCTTTGCAACGATGTAATTTCGTCATTACATTGGTGTGTGTGGGGAGAGAAAAGAGAAAATATTTTCCCCAGCTAATTTCTCCATTCCCACATCATCTAGAGAGTGAGAAAAGCCCTGCCTGTTTGCCCTTTAGACGTGGTCTCTTGTCCCACTAAGTTGCAGAGGAGCGCTGCGGAATTTGTTGGCGCTATATAAATAATAATAATAATATCAGTGATCTCTTGCAGACTATGCAAAAAAAATGTTTGCCTTGAGGTAGACAGGCTAACGGAGCCCCTATCTCCCTCTTTTTAACCTATATTATATAGTACTCATCATTTGAAAGGACATTGCCTGCTCTTTCAAATGATTAGTCTCTTGTCCCCTTAGGATATAGGTGATCTTCATTATAAACAAAGATCACCTACCTTACTGTCATCAGGACAGTATTTTATGGAGGTGGATGGGGGCTATTAAATAACATCTGTCTAATACTCTGTTACTTAAAACGGTGTGCAACCCCTCAAGTGTAAGACATGATGGAGTTTAGCCTCTTTAAAGTGGTTATGCTTTTACAAATAGATGCATCTATTAATTTATGTTGTTGAAAGGACAGGATCTCTCACTGGGTCAGAGGTTTAGTACAATTGGCAGATACCAACAAGTCAGGGGGCATATTACAATTCCAGGAGTAGAGTCTAGTACTCCACTATGTTTAAATGTCACCAGACAGTTCACTGAATGAAAAAACTAAAATAGTCTATGGTGATAGTTGTGAAATGGAGTATATTAAATCCCCAGGAGGTAATTCATGCCTAGACATCCTCCAGCATATTTGGAGAAAGTTCTATGGTAACATTGTTTTTTTAAAAACTACTACAACAAAGTTTAGTTTAACAATGCTGGGGTTGATTTACCAGTGTTTTTACTCAGGGAGAGTGAAATACATATGAAATATGACCCAAGTGTCCCTATTTATGAGGGACAGCCCCTTTTTAAGCCCAATTCCTCTGTCAATCTTTTCTATGCTAATGTTCCTCTTTTCTAGGAGCTCTATATTGTTGTTGTGTCTGAGTGTATAACCGAATTCCACAGCTATAATACTTGCAATAATGTGTAAATAAAGTACATTGTTCTTCTTCTAAATTACCTTGAATTTGCATGAATTGTTCTTAGTAAATACCCCAACATTTCTCAGCCTCACCCATGGCCCCACCCCCACTCACACCCTTAAAATTAAAGTGTACCACTTTGCTCATTTGAAATACTGTGTGGTATGTAAAAAGCAGTCAATATACAAAAGTTACAAAAATGTTGACCTGCTACATAAAACTTGCCTGGGCTAAATGTAGGAATGAGGTCTGTCGTTTCAATGATGACACAAATCTTCTGACAATTGGCAGTTTTTTTTCTGAAAGAGGATCCGGCAAGTTTTCCAAGGATGAAATAATCCACTGTTCCCAGTGTTTAGCAAAATTTCTTATATCTGCTAGCAAACTAATAAACAATTCAAGCATTTATATTTACATTAAGTGAATGGATGGAAATGGACATTGAGTAGAAATCTCTGAATTATTATATTTAATGCTGACATTTTATTGGAATCATTAAATTATATTAGTTTCATATGTTAATAAGATTGTATTATCTTCATGACCCATGAAGTCTAATCAAACATGTGTTCCTGACCCTACAGTGTTAAAACCACCATTAAGTAGCTTGCCCCACCTTTTCCCCCTTAAAAGGTAATCAAACGTACCTTATCTTCAGTGCCGCACAAGTCTGTTGGCGCTGGCCATGCCTCCAATCCACCTCCTTGCTTACTAAATCAGAATTTATGATTTCAGTCAATGCTGTCCCATAGAGAAAACATCGGTCTAGCTGAAATCGTCATGGAGGTGGGACTGAGGTAGGGCAAAACGCCTGCTTGGTCAATCAGCACCTCCTCATAGAGATGCATTGAATCAATGCATCTCTATTAGGAAAGTTCAGTGTCTCCATGCAGAGTGTGCAGATGCTGAACGGCAATGTTGCACAGTGTGCAGCACCGCCCCAGGAAGCACCTCTAGTGGCCATCTGAGGAGTGACCACTGAAGGTGTCCCTGGAGGGCAATGTAAACATTGAAAATACAGTGTTTGCATTAAAAATGCCCGCAGGGAATGTTTATACTCACCAGAACAACAACCTTAAACTGTAGTTGTTCTGGAGACTATAGTGTCCCTTTAAACATAAGTGAAACAGTTTCTGCTAAATTTAGCGAATTGGTTTTAAATGCACTGCAATTTAGTGTACATAGAATTAACTCCTTAATGTTTAACCCTGTATACTCCCAGAACAAAAATATTTCTTTGTGTGTGCAATAACTGCAAATAACTGAACAAAAACATTTTACCTCTCTGGCATTTCTTGCATTGTTGCTGGTATGAGTACATCTGTAAGGACCTAAATAAAAATAAAGATCTATTTTAAATATGACATACTCCATAATTAAAGGTGTGTAATGGCACTCAATATTTTTATACTCACTCTAAACAGCCTACCTTATAAAGGATGGAATCACAAACACAGAATATATCTATGATTATGGGGTTTTCCAGAAGAGGAAGGAGATGATCTGGCATTCCTTGCCAAAAGTGTAGTAAAAAGTGTTGAATCTAGAAAAAATAAGGTACAGTCATTCAAATGTTGTAGTGTTATAAAGTATATAAATAATTATGGTTGCAATATAATATTACCTCCTCAAAATTGCCATTAATAGCGTTGTCAAGTACACACTGACAGTGGGTTTTGTACATCATGATGAGTGTGTCTACCTATAAAATTGAATATAATATATAAATTTCAATGAACATTCATTTTCGAAACACAATTCTGTTAAAGAATCTACTAAAGGAATAGCGTGGCATATTCTCTCTTCAATGAAGGAATTTTACACAAAATACATCAAAACATGATGTCCACACTATTAGACAGCCTTTTCATTTTCCTTAACATCACTTCGAATTTATAAGATTAACTTTTCACTTTGGCCATAAAGGGACACTATAGTCACCAGAATCACTGCAACTTAATGTAGTGGTTCTAAGGTATATAACCTGTGGAGTGTGTTTTGTTCAATAGCATAACTTATGTAAAGAGGGCCTTGCTGGAAGAAATTATTTTGCCCCCCCATCAGTGGCCAGAAGGTAAATTCTCATATTTTGTACATCTCCCATGATGCATTACAAGCTGAGTATCTACCATTTGCCCATCCACAAAGGGTTTTATCAATGATCTAAGTTATGTTAAAGTAAGCTAAATATCAGTTAACATTGGTTAGTTTTTACATGCATAATGTGCTATTTTATGCTATTATACAATTGTATGCGTTATATTTGACACAATATCCATCGTGATACCATGTGCAAACGCTATAAGACTCTCATAAACTCACCAAAGTACACTTAGTACACTACTGGCTACGAAGATACATGCTTTTGTTCACACACTTCCTAAGGGAATATTGCATATGTCCAAATGAAACTTCAGGGATCTATGGCCCCTGAGCAAATGGTTTCTACACAAGTATTAATGACATACTCTACTTCAAATATTGTACTCTTGTTCATTAGGTACTGTGTAACCTCCATTTACTTTGAAATTTGAATGTCTGTACCTTATGCAAATATACAATAAAAATAAAAAATAAAAATAAGAAAAAATGTAATTTCAATTTGATGCAGTTCATAATGGAGGATTTTAGTGTCTCATAAAATAAAATTATTCTTTAATCAAAAGAATCAAAGTGCCAAGGCTATCATGATATCATGGGATTTCCCTAACTACTTGCCATAAAAAATGTTAAACTGTTTAAAAAAAAAAAAAAAAACAATACTGAATTATAAAGAATTTGGATGAATTTTGGACATTGTTATGTACTCCCTCTAAAAATAATACTGAATTATAAAGATTTTAGATGAATTTGGGTCTTTTTTATGTACTCCCTCTATGTAGATTTTAATGTTTGCTTGTGTACAATTGAAGTAGTTTTACTAAAGAAGAAGATACCTGTATTTAAACATTAAGCTTGTTAATTGCTAAATCTTCTCCTGAAAACAGAAGGAAATAGATCTGCATAAGTAAGTTGCATTTGGTAAATATTTTTCTTTCGGGTAATCAACGAGAGACTTTTATGGCTTTCTATAAATCTCAGATGTGTTTATTTCCTATTTGTAAAGAAGAAAGACTCACAGGCACTCCGAATTCAAGCCGCAGGCAGTTTTATTGTAACAGAATACAACGCAACGTTTCGACCGTAAAGGTCTTTTTCAAGCTTGGTTATACGGCTAGAGAGTGCTGTAGGGGTTTGAGAGGAAGGGGTAATATTATGGTACTAGGGACTATCAGAGGGATTATTGTGCTGAAGTGGTTATGGAGCTGGTGTGATTAATTGATTATGGAATTGGTGTGAAATGATTATGGAGACAGTGATAATTGGATTAAGAGGACCAGGTTAATCTGATTGTAGATAGGGGAAATCTAATTAGGAATACCAGGTAGAAAGTTTATGGAGCTAAGAAAATGTCTTTGGGATTAGGGGTTAGACACTCATGAAAGGATTAAGGTACTGTGAAATTAGGGTAGTGTGGGTTCTCATATATAAGTTTAGTCTTGAATGTCTCAAAATCTCGTTCATACCATCTTTAAAGCCTGTTCTATCATAAAAATATGTCTATAGAATAACATATCACACTTCAGTATATCTCTTCCATTTGTTAGCTTTTATTTTTACACTTATACTTCATTTACTAAGAATAATATTTGCTGAGGTAACAAGGGAGCTATTCTTGCTCTGCAGTCTTCTGACATATGGCCAATGTTAATGTTTAATCCTGCTATATAAGATTATACTCTATGACTGGGCATAACCTACTTTGTTCCAGTACCTAGACTTGTCTTATTTTGTCCTTATGGTTAACACTGCAGATGTACCTGCTAAATAAATACTGTCAAAAAAAGAAAGTAAAGGGATTTAAATCAAATTCATTTAAATATAGAAATCACATATTTTCCTACTTTGATTTTGCTAAATATAGAGAGAACATGGAATAAAGTACAATCAAAAGAAGATTCTCTTACAATCACACATGTATCTCACTGAGATTTAATTTACCTTATCCTTGGACAAACATCCGTGCAAAAGAAGATGATGAGCATTTGGGAATTCGGGGAGCAGAGTTCCAGTTTTTGAACTTAAAGAATATTTTCTAGTGAAGCCACCCTGCAGAAATATGTAGAGATATACTTAGTAACAATAACATCTTTACTGAGATGTCTGACATGTAAAATGACCAGCTCTGTAAAACAATATTGGAAATACTAAAAGCTATCAAATATAACCAGGAAAAAAATGCATTATTATGATTTGTGTGTATGTGATTTATAATATATGGAAAACAAATTCTGAAGTTTTTTATCTCTATAAAAATAAGGTGATAACATCCAAAATGCTTTATTAAAATGCCATTAGAACATTTTTACTAGTCAGATGCAATAATATATTCAAAAGGACCAGTCCAGCTTGGATCCCAAATATTAAATTGAGATTCCATGTGCAGACCAGAGCAGTAATGTCTGGTTACACTTACACCTTTATTATTGATATTTCAATACCACAATGTCGATGAGATATTCCATGTGCAATGCGAACTACAATGGTTATAAGGAATGGTTAAAACTCTCTACTTTGGCCTAAATGAAATCTCAGAAAATAGTAAATACCAGACACAGATTAAAAAGGTTTTGCTGTTGCACACATTTAAAATATAAAGATGTAATCCATCTCAAGTGGTCCAGCATAGGTTGCTGTTTTTAATTTAAAATCTTTAGTGTGTCTGTGATTGTATGTATGTGGGTCTGTAATTGTGTTTGTGTATATCTGTGATTATGTGTGTGATTGTGTGTATCTCTGTGTATGTGTTTAGTAGATAGCTCCCTTATTTGGTGTCCTTAAATATTGCAATCCCACATAAGGATAACAAATAAGGGATTTCTCTACTAAACAACTACTGAAAATAAGAAAAGGGCTTTTTTAAATGTTGATCCTTTAGCTGTTTAGTAGATAATTCCCTGAATTGGTGCCCGTATGTGAGATTTCCATATTTAAAGATACCAAATGAGGGTGCTGTTTAGCAGATAGCACCTTATTTGGTGTCCTTAAATATGGCAATCCTACATAAGGATAGCAAATAGAGGAGTTATCTGCTAAAAAAAAAGATCAAAATTAAGGTCTCAGCGAACCCACAACAAAGGTGGACAGGGACAGTGCACCCAGACCACTTCAATGAGATAAATTGGTCTTGATGCCTATAGTGTCCATTTAAGGGAATTGTAGCCCCATCTTTGGGTATAATGGATTATTAGATTGGTTACTGCTGCCGATCTATAGCCATCTGTCATTGACCAGGCTATTGACTTGCATTACAAGTGCTTGTGTGGAAAAAAAAAACCACAAGGTGTTCAAATCCTATTACCATCTTGGGTACAATTCACATAGAAAAAATATCAGTTTATCAATCAGCATGCATGTGGATAATACACTTTTTATGCATATGTCACCTCAATGTGTATTATTACAAATGCAGTGAGTACTGATAGGGTGAATCAGAATATAATATATATTATTTAGCCTTGTATTGCAGAGAGCCCCAGATGGAATTTTTCCTTTAAGTAATTGGGTTAATCTCATTAGAGCAGACATTAGGCTGTTATAGTAGGATCTGCCAAAGATGGGGTACATTGACCTTGTGGCAGGCTTATTCAATGTATGATCATATAATGTAACTACACCACCATTATGTTTGCCTAGATTAGGTATTTAAAAAAAAAAAATTAAAAAAATAATAAAATCTGTCAACATTGAAGATACCAGATAAATCCGACAATGAAGGTTAGGCACGCTGAAGTTAACACCACTTGGTCTTTGTATTTTGGATCTAGGCTCACGTGCCCGTGACTGTTTGCCATGGCTAGATGGGAAGAGCTGTGGCACCTCTGTAATACAGGAGTCAGATGTGTGGTCTCCCGCTTCAGCGGTGAACATGCAGGAGGGACCGGCATGTGCCAAGGAGGGACTGTGTCGGCGAGGGAGTATCAGGTGAGTGAATAGAAGGAATAAGGATATTTAAAGAAAAGAGAGGTGGTGCGTCATGGGGGAAATCATCTGGAAGCGGAGAAGCAAGACTCGTATAGTGGGAAAGTGACACTTATACAGTGTTGTATCTGGGGCAGTGTCAGTTGGGTATCACCCACAGGATGGAACTTTAATAGCGTCTAGATTTCGGGTGTCATACTATTAGTTTTTGAAAGGGAACAGAGCATGAAAGGGCAGAAGAAATATAACTTGAGTTTCCAGAGAAGGGTGTCAGGATAGGCCACCGGGGAAGGCAAGGTTGAAAATCCTCCATCTCCACCCCCTAAACCTAATCAAACTCAGTGTAAGTTTCCCATATTTTAAATTATTACTTGCGGTCACATTAACTAACTGTTAGTTTAGTGCTCCACAGTATATTTCAGCATATGAAATTATATAAAAAATAAGGCATAGTATAACACCATTTATTATACAAACTATGATATACATTGTTTACTGTTTAAAGCACTTACACCTAAACAATATTTGCATTGGTTTTCTTGGCTTCCAAGTTTAAGTCAGCATGGGTGCAGGAATAATGAAATTTCCATTATAATATGACTGAATTGCTGGCATAACAAAGAAATGCCTTTAAGAGAGTACTTAGGCTGCTCACCGAATTGAGTT